GAGATATCTAAACTTGATGGGGCTTTAAAAGGAAGGAAAAGCTTCTCTTCAAAGCCTGGAAAGGAGCTTCATTAAGAGTGAGAGGAGTTAGGAAGATGTGCAGCAGTTAAGAACACTGGCTGCTCTTGCAGAGGACCTGGGTTCACATGATAGTTAACAACTATCTGTAACTCCAGTTCCAGGGGATTCAATGCCCTCTTCTGACCTCCACAGGCATTGGGTGCATGGGTGAGTTTACATACATGCAGGCAAAATACCCATACACATTTAAAATGAGAGTAAGATGAAAAAGAGACACACAGAGGGGAGAGGGATAAAGAAATGGAGGGGGAGGGCAGAGAGAGAGAGAGAGAATCCATGAGGAGAGAGATTTCAGAGACTAACATCTTCAGATCTTGAGAGAGCATCTCTGGACCCAGGCCCCCAGCAGTCTCCTGAGGAGTCTTGGACAAATCTCCTAAGTAAAGGATGAGCTACACTGCAACTGTAGGAAAACTGATGCGTACAGTCATCTGAGAGAAAGAGGAGAGAGAGAGAGAGAGAGAGAGAGAGAGTGAAAAAGAGAGAAAAGGAAAGCACAGGCATGATTACTGGCTTGCTCCCAGGGCCTATACTCAGCCTGCTTTCTTACACAATTCAGAACAACCCGCCCAGGGGTGGCATCCCCCACCCACAGTGGGCTGGGCCCTCCCACATCACTCAACATTCAAGAAAATACCCCATAGATGTGGCCACAAGCCAGTCCAATGGAGGAAATTCCTCAACTGAGGCTCCCTCGACCCAGGGGTGTGTCAAGTTGACAACTAAAGCTATCTGGCCCATAGAACAAGACCCTATCCAGAAATGAAACAATACAAAAAACAAAGGAGAAACAAAAGAGCAGAATGCTAAGAAAAATAAAAGCAAAAATAAAAATTCAGGGAAATATTTACAAGACATGACGACACATCATCCAATGTAATCCTAGTGAAACACAGCGTATGTCCAAGTGTAGGTGAGGATATGGAACAACTGGCATCTCATACATGGCAACAGGGGATGAAAATAACACAACCACTCTGGAAGGCAGTCTGGCACAGTCTTTAAAAGTTAAAGATACACACTTGTCACAGGACTCCACAATTCTATACGTCTGTCTTTACTGAAAGATTTGAAAACATGATCACTCAGGTTATGTTTGCAAATGACCATAACAGTCTGATTAAAATAGCCTGGTGTTGCACGCCTGCAACTCCAGTACTGCAGAGGCTGAGTAGGAGGATGTTGTGACCCCAGGATGCCTGTATAGTGTCTAAAAAATAACCTCTACCTGCCAAAAGACAGCCGTAAAATATACAACTACTGAGTGGGCAAAATGGCACTCTGCAATAAAAGGAGAGAAATACTGCTTGAAACTCAAAGTAACTGTGCTTAATAATAGCTTGTCACAAACGATTCCTTTTATATGATATGATAGAAAGAGCGTGAATGTTTCCAAACTATGTATAGATGGCAAATACAACAATGGAAGGCACTGCCTGAGGGCGTGTGGGAGCTGCAGTAGTGAAAAGCCTTGTAAGGGTTGAAGTGGGAGAGTAGATGCTTATGTCAAATGTTTGATCAAATTCACCAAATGATGGGGCTAAAGTGCATGGTTTCAACTGGATTTAAATGATAAGAACATATTTTGGCTTCTGGCTTCAGAGTGCCTCAGTCTATCACAACAGGGAAGGCATGGATGCAAGAGCTTGTGGTCGGTGAGGTTTGGGTAAAGAAGGTGGACCAGGAAATAGAGAAAACCAGACCAGAGACAGAGGCAGAAAGGAAAAGCACACGGTGTGCAGCAGTGAGGCTCAGGTTATCTCCTTCAGTGTGACACAGACTGGTCAGAAGACTCAGGAGGGCTTGGTGTTGGTGCAAAGTTCTACAAGGACTCCCAGTACCAGAGAAGAAACCTGCTCATCACTCACAAGACAGAAATGAAACTGCATACGATTTGTGAATTCAATAATGAGAGAAGTTTATTGAGCATCAGGAATGGAGAGCCGAAGAGAAGGAGAGTAGTGCAAAGGTTGCTGCGACTGGGATCAAGATCAATGGTCACCATGACTACAGGAAGGGCTCATTGTTCTTCTCTTATGTACAAGAGAGCACTGCAAACAGAAGGGGACTGTAGGGGAAGCAGCTATGAGCTGCGAACCTGGGTAATGCCAGTTGTTTGACTCTGTGATTTTTCTAGGACCAGGAAGCCTTCAGCTGCAGTTGGCAAATAAATGGCAACAAAAAACAAAACAAACAAACAAAAATTTTCACCACGGGAAGCCTAAAAGGTTGAGGCCCTATGCAGGCTGTTTGGTGGTGGTCACTTAACTCCTGGTCTCAACAGGAGCTCAATAGTACATTCAGGCCTCAGTGACAGCTCTGCTGAGCTGCCGACCCAAGGCTGAACATTTTCTCTGTATGTTCCCTGGTGTCGAGGACAGGTAACACAGTAATCTTTGCTTTCAACGTAAAGATCATGGAATTCAATAGAGTGGGTGATAAAAAGGACTTGCCCAGGACCAACTGGTGAGTAAGAAGCGCAAATTGTTCGGAAGTGCAGGGAAAGGGAGATCCTTGAGAGTAGAAGATAAAATCCATACCTTCTTAATAACAGAGAAAAGACTTTGAAGGAACAAGAAGACAGATGGAGCACAATTTGGTGCCTTTGTAAATGACATAAATACAAGAGACTTTGTATTGGTGTGGACGAAGAGTTCAAGGACAACAGTAACGTAAGAATGAAAGTTGAACACGTGGACAATCAAGAAGAGCAAGGAACGATTAAGTTATCAGGAAATTTCAGGAAAAATGAAAAGCAGACAGACCTTTCCATATGTGGAGATGCCCTCAGGGGTCCAGGGAAGGAATTTTTCTTCTACTTATTGATGCTCCCCATTGTACTTCCAAGACACACCCCATTGCCCAACATATTCACAGCTGTGTTATGCTTATACAAATATGGACTTCACAGTGTCTGCAGGACTCCAGAGAGTAAGAGAAAACTTCAGAAGGTGGGTCACTGAGAACCTACTTCAACCTGCTGGCCAGCCCCCTTTTGGGCCCAGATTGTAGGACCCATGAACATGCCGAGTTTTGCTTCTCACCAAAGTGGGTCTGGCAACACTCAGAAAAGAAATAGACAAGATTTCATACATAAGTACAATACATAGAAATTTTTTTCTGTATTTGGCCTCCTCAGTGGCTGATGTCAGAGAGCTCTAGGAGCTACGGCACGAAGGCTTCTGTGAGTCAAATTCATTTGCTGAATGTAATCTGCAATATGATGATATTAAGACCTGGGAAGCTTGGAAGATCATCAGTGTCATTCTTTACCTACTCCACCCAGTGAAGACACTGTGTAATCTCTGAGCCAGATACCTAGCCCTCACTACCCAGCAAATCTGATAACATTTTGATTCTGATGCTTTTGGTCCACAATATTGTACATACAACTCTGTTATAAGTTATCCAGCTTACTATCCTTTGGTTTTGATTTAGAGATCTGAGTCCTAATAGATTTCTTGGGCTGGCCTGTAACTCCTAGACTCACTCAATGTTTTGCTACAGCCTCTGTATATCAGAGGCCAAAGATACCTGACACAGAGTCCAGCTTGTGGTTTATCACCCAACTGAACAGCATCTTGAACTTATGAAGATAACAGAGTTCTTGGGAAGTAGGTTTTCTACTGGACATTTATACTTATGAGAAAATATGATTTTGACACAACTGATCCCTATTAGTCAATAATCCCTAAAGAATCTGCTTCATTTGAAGACGGTCAAGTGCTTGGGGAAGAGAGAGGATGGGAGAAGACAAGTCGAGGAAGGAAGGAGGCTAGTCCCAGTGGAATGTAAAAGGAGATAGAGGCACTTTGAGGTGCACACATCTGTACTGTTACAGAACCATTGACCAAGTGGGTCTAACAAAAGATGATCCTGCAGGATGAGTGAGGAGTGACATGCAGAGATTTCATTACATACGTAGGAGAACAGAAAAATGCAGAGATTAGGAATGTTTACGTGACTATTGGAATCAACCCAGGTTCCTTTGGGAACCTCAGGCTGATCCTTTTTTAGCATTCAAACCCCAGATTTATCCTGATAGGGGACACTACAGTTCTTCGTGTTGTGTGTGAGCCCCCTTTAGCTGCTGGATCTTTTGGGGAACGGTCTTGGTCCAGAACTGCAGTCTTCCAGCCTTCAGAGAATGGCCCACAGTAGGCTGGATGTCCAGTTGCAGGTACTGCTCATCCTGGTCATATATGGGCCAGTGGGGTAGGCCATCGCTGTTGGGGTTCCTGTGGATATGCCCCCACAGAGTGGGTTGAATTTCACTCTGATCCAAAGCCCGACAATCTGATTTGGGCAGGGTACTGGGCTTGAGGGGACTGACAGACAGGTATCCCCATTAAAGAAAAAGACTAGTGTATGTTCCATGAAAGACAAAGCTATTAGTGTCCTCTCTTCCTAACTCTCAGAGGCAAGATCTAAAGAGCAGTACCAAAGCACCATGGCCCACTGGCCAGGTCATGGAGGAATGTCCAGAGGATGACACCTACAATGTGTCTAGGCATGCCCTAGAGTGGAGACAACCCTATCATGTGATGAAGGACTCATCATGCACGTTAATGAGGCCACAAACCACAAATGGAGACCTGAATGGGGATCCACCCCTCAGGATTAGGGGTGGTGCATGCGCTCACCCATTTCTTGCAAAGTTGGCCCAGTACTTCATCATCCTACTGCTCAGCAGCTTCTCCTCCTCAGTGAGGTCAACTGTAGACATGAGAAAGACAAAGGTCCAAGTTCTTGACACCTCATGAGGTGCCCACTCATGCTCCAGAGTCACCTCCCCAACCGTAGCCTGACCCTGAATTCTTGGTCTGATTCCCTCCCTCCCTACACATCCGGATTCAGTATCCATCTCAGAGCCTCTAATTCAATTCCCCTAGATTCATACCTCCTCCAATGTGCCCTCGTGTCCTTTTTCATAGAATATACTGAGAAGGGCGCAGATTCTAACCCTCATAGATTTTTGAGCTTGGAGGTATTGCGTACTTGATCTTGTCCTAGCCCAGAGTCTTGGTTCCCTCACCTGGACTGACAGTGCAGACATCCCTCAGGTACTCATCTGGGAGCCCATTAGCTCAAGGAAAACAGGGAAGACTCACGTTTGATGCCCCCAATGTAGGACCCAAAGACAAAAAGAATCTCATCGGCATGATCAGCCTTCACATGAGACGGTCTGACATTCTTCAGGCTAGTAGGCGTATGCTGGAACTCATAGAAGTATACAGGAGCATGGGAACCTAGGGACAAGGACACATGGTGCCACAGTGGCCCATTGCCTGGAGCTGTCTTGCCACACATTTGGTGACAGCATCCCTTGGTATAAAGTTATCTCAATTCACATTTGAGTATGGGGGCCCAGGCTAGAGCACAAGCTGTGTTGAATTTCTTGATTAAATGGTGACCCTGTCACTTACAACTGAGTGTCAGTAACTTGTTTTCTAATTTGTGCCTGGATAAGGTGTCACTCTCTTAGACATAAGGATTTACTGAAAATATGTCCTCAAGTGCCAAAGGCCTGATGTAGACATTAGTTTTGAGCTAGACACCACAGATCTCACCTGGGACCCACAGATGTGAGATGGTCCCAGGCCTCATTACATATGTACTCACGCTGAAAATGTGCCACTTGGAGTGCGGGGATCACGAACATGAAGTCTGCCATCATCTCTCTGTACTGTAGTTGGAGGGTCTGGGCATCCTCCGTGTTTCCCATGTACTCCTTCATTAGCAGGTCACCACTCTCTGAAGGTAACCCCTACACCATAAAGAATGTGGTTAGAGGTTCCACTGTAGATGTGTCACTCAGGGCTGGGCATCTCTCAAACATATATTCCCTGTGTGTGACCAGCTGGACCAGTACTCTACAGCAGC